CAGGTGGATGCTGCACTCCGCGCTCCGCCCGCACAGCTCCTCCCGGTCGATCCGAGAATTCACAAACAAAATGCCATTCTGCAGATTTACCTCCAGAAGATCCCCGTGGCCTTTGGACGCCACCCGGAACAGGCGTGGCACCAGCTCCGCCAGCTCCAGCCCCAAATCCTGGGCGATGCGGCCCACGAAGGTGCCGTGTTTGGCCTCCTCCAGGACTGAGTAATGAACCTGGCCGCTCCCGGTCTCCCAGACTGAGAGGAGCAGAAGCGAAAACAGTAATCGCCGGGCTCCTGGACCTTCTTCTCTCCGTGAAAACACCCTTGCAAGCCTTTTCCAAATACTGTGTCGTTCTTGCCTTGATCCAAACTTCAAAAAATAATTTGAGTTCCTCATTCTTTTCTTAAATAACCTTACCGTGGCCGTATTTCAGAGAGCAGCATCTGAGTACATAACGCATGCTTCATTTCTTTTGTGGTGAAATACCTTCTGGTGGACAGCGACATCATGTGGCTAAATGTGTAAGTATTAAATAAATGTACCCACCTTCTCTGTATACTAGCGTCTGATCTTTCCCAAAATTTCTATTTTAGTTGTAATTTCCTTCGAGCACTTTTCAAATTCTTTATATTTATAGAAATATAACCTTACAGCTTTTATACTAATTCATCACTTCCAAATATCCCAATCCATGACATAGTAAAATATAGTAGAATGATTAATGTTGTAATAGTAGTGGACATCTACTGGAAATATTCCCCACATGACAAGCCTGGGGTTGTAATGGGGTTATCCATTAAATTCTTTTTTTTTCCCATTAAATTCTCACAACTCTCCGAGGTAGTATTAATACAAGTCACTTTTTACAAACAAGGAAGTGAAAACACATACCAGTTAAGTAACTTAAAAATATTAACTGGTGTTATTTGGGTGGGATCTCAATCTGATTCAAGACCCCTAACTTTTACCACTTGGCCTCGAAGTCTACATTTTGTAGAAAAATCAGGGCCACCTGGGTGATTAAGTTGGTAAAACCTGTGCCTTTGGCTCAGGTCCTGATTCCACGCGTTGGGGTCCTAGGATCCAGCCCCAACTCGGGCTCCCTGCTCAGCAGGGAGTCGGCTTCTCCCTCTGCCCCTTCCCCCGCCCTGCTGTCTCTTGCTTTCTCTCTCTCTCTCTCAAATAAATAAATAAAATCTTAAAAAAAAAAAGAATTCCAGAAAGATGATTAAAAAAAAAAGAAAGAAAAATCAGGCCTTTGATATTCGTGACCACCAAAACATCAAGACATTGACAGTATGTGTAGATAGGGGTGCCTGGATGGCTCAGTTGGTAGAGCATGTGACTCTTAAATCAGGGTCTGAGAGTTGAAGCCCCACATTGGGTGTGGATCCTAATTAACAACAAAAAAAAGTATGTGTATATACATATCCATATATACATACATATTTACTTATATATTATTATAGCAATTGTTAATTTAGAAAATTTATTTATGGACTGTCTACAACCCACTCTTATGTCCTTTATCCAATGATTATACACTTGTTGTCTGTCTTAAGTGTTATTTATATAAAGATGCCAGAAGGTAGTTTTTTTACAGTGCAGTTCTTTTATAAATTTGTTTTACTATATGACAATACATTCATGACAGCAAGTCAGAGTATATTTGCTTTTTAAATTTCCACACCATTTATACATTTCAACTTACCTGCATATCCTAAAATGTTCACAATATGAAATAATTATGTTTAAATGATCTCCACTCTAGATGAATTTCTGGATTCCAGTTTCTTAAAAAGTTGTTACTTGAAAGTACTGGTGACTTAACCAATCAATAAAGAGAAAAGTAACTTTGGAACATAATTCACCATTCAGTATCTGAAAGATGAGGCAATGTAATATTCTAAAGGTCTCTCTGAATTCAGTGAGAGGCATAAGTTCTCTAAATATTTGAAAGTTGACCAGAGAAAATTCATGGGCAGAGGTTGAATGTAGAGAGGTAAAAGGATGCCCAAGGTTTTGCTTATAGTCAGAGCCTCTTGAAATAAAACCAAATACATGATTTAAATATTAGGAGAAAAGTTTTCATGCCAGCTTTTTTTCCCGTGCACTCACTGAATGCATGCCGGGATACCAACTTACTCGTATTTTATCATTCACATTTAGAATAGAATAAATTATCAATTAATGTTTTAATGGATAAATGAGTATTTTAAACTTTCTCAAGTATCATAAGAGGTAAGTTACATTAATGATATTTGTTAATATCAAACTTACATAATTTCTAATTGATTCTATTGTACTAGTTCATGAAGAAGTAAATAAACATTTAAGAATTATTTTGGAAAAGCATGAATCAAGGAAATAATTACAGATATCTGTATGCCAGTTAGTGCTTTGAAGACTCTTGAAAAATAATAACTACTTTTAAAATGAGATACAGAATTAAAATTTTTTTTAAAAGATTTTATTTATTTGACAGAGAGAGACACAGTGAGAGAGGGAACACAGCAGGAGGAGAGGGAGAGGGAGAAGCAGGCTTCCCGCTGAGCAGGGAGCCCGATGTGGGGCTTGATCCCAGGACCCTGGGACCATGACCTGAGCTGAAGGCAGACGCTTAATGACTGAGCCACCCAGGTGCCCCCAGAATTAAAATTTTAAAACATCATGGACTCCATGGGATGCCTGAGTGGCTCAGTCAGTTAAGTGTCTGCCTTTGGCTCAGGTCATGATCCCAGATTCCTGGGATCAAGTCTTGCATCAGGCTCCTTGCTCAGCAGGGAGCCTGCTTCTCCCTCTGCCTGCTGTTCCCTTGCTTGTGCTCTCTCTCTCTCTGACAGATAAATAAATAAAATCTTTAAAAAAATAAATTTAAAAACACCATGGACTCCATATTAATGGAATACCTCTGACAACTTATTATAATACTATACATTTCATGACATTTAAGAGTATACTAATTGTAGGGGTGCCTGGGTGGCTCAGATGGTTAAACGTCTGCCTTTGGCTCAGGTCATGACCCCGGGGTCCTGGGACCGAGCCCCACATCAGGCTCCTGACTCAGGGGGGAGCCTGCTTCTGCCTCTCCCCCTGCTCATGTGCTCTCTCTCCCTCTCTCTGTATCTCTGCATCTCAAATGAATAAATAAAATCTTAAAAAAAAAGAATATACTAATTGCAAAGTAGAATGCTACAGGCAATTTATGACAGAGTAGACTCCATAATGATTATTAGGCAATGAAGGTAATACTAAAGGAACTATGAGTTCATCAGATTGAGCCACTGTGTGGATAAAGTATCAGTGAATAATATCTACTCTCACTTAGACATCTCCTCAGGTAACTTAATTTAAAAGTGTAAATAAGGAATAAGAAACCAATAAGAATTTAAGTGATAAATTGTGACTCTTGGAGATCTGGGTATACCTGGATATAGTTTTAACAGCTTACCATTTACCTGTAGTACAAATGTAGTGGCCAGACTTCTAGTAGGACAGATTTCATCTGACCGTTTATACTGTCTGCATACAAGTCTCAAGAAGGTGGTGAGTAGCTATGACACTCTAGGTAGGATGACTCCTCCCAAGAAAGAGCTTCTTCCTTATTTGCCCAAGTCACTTTTTTCCCTGTAAAGCCTCAGATAAACTTTTCTGGTTCCCAGGAAATATATACTCCCTGAATTTGGAGGCTTATTAACTGTTAGGAGCTAAGAAGTTTACTGTAGAAACAGATTATCCTTAAAAGATTTCCCCACCTAACTTCTCAAGTCCTTTAAAAGCAGATCTCGGATGAAAATGAATATATGGCCTATCCGTTGAATGGCTAAGGCCAGATCACTTAGTGGAAGTTTTTTCTACAATTCAATTTCTACAATTCAATACCCATCCACATACATACAGGGAAAAAACAGCAAATAACTAAGAACCAAATAGAAGACAGTTTTAGACAGTTATTTCACACCAGGACATTTTCTTTTGAAGTTTTAAAATTCTTCTCCAAGTGTAACATTTACTTGTCAATTTTAACAACCCAACACAGGAGTTTCCAATTAAAATGCAGTCATTCAATATCAGTCTTCACCTTTTGGGAAAACTCCAACTTCCTTAGTTATATGGATGTTGCCAGGAGAAAGTGAGTGATCTCACACTTGTGGAAAATGTTATCCCAGGCATAGAGTGTGGTGTCAGAGGCAGGTGGTCATTCTCTGCACAGTGGAAGGCCTGCACACATTAGCCTAATGATACAGATACTGGGAAGGATAACTGAGCAGCCCACTAACATAACAACTGGGCTAGAGTACTCACCACTTTTAGAGGAAAAAAAATCCCACCACATGGCCACCCCTCAATGTAATTTTTTAAATGTTAAGATCTTTTTTAATGTTAAAATATTTTAGGGCGCCTGGGTGGGTCCATCTGTTGGGTGTTTGACTCTTGATTTCAACTCCGGTCGTGATCTCAGGATTGTGAGATCTAACCCCTCGTTGGGCTCTGCGCCAGGTGTGGAGCCTTCTTAAGATTCTCTCTCTCTCTCCTGCCCCTCCTCACTCCCCTGCTCTCTGTCTAAAAAAAAAAAAAAAAAAAGATATTTTAACAAAATTGAAAGAGGGTTCTTTTCTTTTTTTCTAAAGATTTTATTTGTTTGTTTGCTTATTTGAGAGAGAGAGAGAAAGAGAGTGCCTGTGAGCAGGGGAGGAGGAGCAGAGAGAGAGGGACAAGCAGACTCCTCACTGAGTGCAGAACCCCTCCTGGGGCTGGATCCCACTACCCTGAGATCATGACCTGAGCTGAAATGAAGAGTCAGACATCCAACAGGTGGAGCCACGGAACAACCAACAACGTAACAACCAACAACGATTAACCCACTGAGCCACCCAGGTGCCCCAGGGAGGGATTCTTTTCTCAATGAACTCTCTATTGTGCCTTAAAACTCTACAGATTTTGTAAGTGTGAAGTCTTTATCCCAAATAACAGGTTATTTAACTACTGAAAGACATACCTAATATTAGCAATTATTCCTAAGTGATGTCACCTAGTGATCCTAAGTGATGTATTCTAATGACCTATGATAGGTACTTTCAGAAGTCCTGGCATTAAAAGATCCATTCAGGCTGCTTTCAAAAACAAGGAAAAGAAAACCTAACTTATTACCTGTTGCATAAACAGATAAAGACAAATGAATTCTTGATCGAAAAAATAATCTAGAAAACGCCCAGATAAATAATATACTCCTATTCCAAAATATTCTGACAGAATGGATGGGTGATGTAAATTGGAAATATGCATTTTATATATTCATACTCTTTAAATTTTTTCCAATTATGATTTTTTAATTTTGTGAAAAAATATTTACAGGTAATAAGTTTTCAAATTTAGCTGAAGTGTTTTTCAGTTCTTCAAAGTCCAATTATTCATGAACAGATTTAATTATGAAAAAAACAAAATCTGAAAATAAGAAAACCATTTAAGTAAATTGTTCTCAATGAAGAAATTCACCTCTATTTCATACCATATATTGCACCATAGGATAATGATAAAAAAAATAAGGGCAAATGGCAAGATTAACATAATAATAAAAAAATAAGGGCAAAGCTATGAATCAAAATAATAGAATCATAAATAAAGGAAATAGAACAATTCTAGAATCGACAGGAAAGACTCACCTTTCCTAAGTGTTCTGATTCTGAGGGTTGTTGTCTTTCTTCTGCGGAGCCTGGAACTTGAGGTAGGCTGGGGCTGAAGGCCATGAGGTCGGTCTTGGGCGGGGGCGGGGGCGGGGGC